ACACTTCATTTGATGTGTTACCAGAATGACTTTACTTAGTTCTTTGCGGTGTCGTAAGTGAAACTGGAGAGTTTGTTAGTGTGGGCCGGAAAGGTTCCGGTGTCATAATTTTCTAGCATTGAGCTGCAGATTTAACAGTTAGAAAGTTCAACGATTATTATGGTTGCATTTGTGGTTTGGCTGCCATGCACAACATGAGGTTTTGATACAAGCTCATGACACTTCCTGTGGGGGCAACTATAGCAGTCGTGGTCTTGTGCAGCCTTGCAGTTTATGTATGAGAAGTGATGATTTTTCAGATGACTGGTAAAGCTTTTGTAGTTTTCGTGTTTATACATAATTTAAATGTTTGCACAGGAAATTGGATTAAACCAGGTCAGTTCTTAAACTGACTGAAATGAATGAATACTGTTTAATATTTACATTTAATCATTTAGCAGACACTTTTATCCAAAGTGACTTACAAATGAGAACAACAAAAGAGCAACAATATAAGTGCTGTGACAATATGGCAAGTATATGTAGTAGCAAGGTTTTTTTTTTTTTGAAAATAGAATAGAGAGAGCTAGTGTTTGAAGATCAAGTTATTATTGTTTTTTATAATAAATAAAAAGAAAACATGTAGATACAATAGAACAAGAATAGAGAATGCAAGTGTTAGAGGGTCAAGATGTTTTTTTTATAATAAATAAAAGAAAACAAGTAAATATAACAGAAACAGAATAGAGAGTGCTAGTGTTAGAGGGTCAGCTTTTTTATATATAATAAAAGAAAAGGTAATAGCGTAGAAATGAAATAGAGAGTGTTAGGGGGTTAAGTGTTTTCAATAAATACATATGTTTATTTTTAAATTACATTTTTAAATGCATTTTATAATAAATAAAAAAAGAAAAAAAGTAGATAGAATAGAAATGGAATATAGAGTGTAAGTATTAGAGGGTCAAGTTAGAAGGTCAAATATATATCCTACAACATATTGTAAGTAAGAAAAAGTGTTTGTTTTAGCCTATTCTCTTTACTGGAAGTAGGCCTATATTGAAAGTATAGATTTAAGCACATAGACTCAAACATTTATTTGGACGTCATTTTGTACTTTTTTTTTTGACCTTCCATGAAAAAATAATAATGGTAGTTGCATACTGATTGTTTATACATCACCTGTGCACAACAGGTAGATTGTTTTATTTTTTATTCTTTATTATTATTTTTTTAAATATACCCATGACTTTTTAAATGGGTTATTTATTTACTTACTTACCTACTTACCATGACAGTTGCATTATAATACCACATTTTAAAAACTATAAACATAAAAAATTATCTTAAAAAAAACAAACTTGTTTTTGTATTTGTACAGAATGTAAAAAGCACAATCCAGTTCAAACCAAATGACCCCCCAAGGTTTTTCACATCAGTTTGCTATTTGAAATGTTAACCAGCTGGGCTTTCACATGTGATAGTGATGAATTTATCACATAGTTGTCTCTTGACTCTACATAACCTTCTTATTAATAATCATACACAAAACATAATTTAATAAACGCACTAATATACTGTATACTAGGATACACTAGACATGAAAAATATAAGATGGGTTTACAAAGAGCTAAGTGCAAACTTTTAATAGAAAATATATTGCATAAAGTCTCTGTCACAGTTGTATAGTGCACTACAAAAGCACACACCACCAGTTACTCAGTGTCTAGCCTCGTCAAGACCAACATCACTTACCCGTGCTACTTACCTGAGAAGCCTGTGTACTTACCTGATGTCCAGTGTCTTATCTCCAGCGATCTCCTATGACACTTTTCCAGCAATCTTCAGTGTTTCCTAAGTATCCTTTTGCACTGATCTCCTCGTCTCGTCTTCCTCCCAGTGTGTGCTGCTCTGCCTGTGAAAGACATTGTTAATTATTACCATCTACCATCCTTCATTTATATTATCACTGCCACAACTCACTAACCTGAATTTTTTTGAGTTTCTGTCAAGAAATACCTTAATTGGGTTCAATACTTCCGTCTCCTCTCGTCTAGTATCCCCAGACAGAAAGCTAGACCAAACCTCCATGAACTCTGTAGGCACAGCATCTCCAGATCCATTTTAAGAATTGGTGTACACCAGGGATCTCCAACCCTGCTCCTGGAGAGCTACTGTTTTGCAGACTTCAGATCCAACCCTGCTCCCACATACCTGTCTATAATTATCAGGTAACCCTGAACACCTTGATTAGCTGGTTCAGATGTGTTTGATTGAGGTCGGCGCTGAAATGTTCTAGTCCCAAGGTCAATCCAGGACCCTACTCTGGCTCGGTGCTCGCTTGCCCTCGAGACGCAACTGCATTGTTTTCTCACTGAGTGTAGCCTGGTGTGGATATCATCCTCTGACAACAGCAGGGCAATCCCTCCTCCGTCCATTCGCCTTCTTTTCCAAAAATCTTACCTTGGCAGAGCAAAATTATGACAATGGCAACAGAGGTCTTTTGGCAGTCAAACTGGCTCTACACTCTAAAAAATGCTTGGTTAAAAACAGACAAACCCAGCTATTGGGTTGTTTTGACCCAGCGGTTGGGTTGTTTTGAAACCAATAGCTGTTTTTTTTTTTCAGTTTTTAACCCAGCATTGTTTAGAGTGTAGAAGAGTGGTGGCCCTGGCTGGAGGGGGCCCATCATCAAGTCCTCATTCTAACAGATCATCATAACATGTAATAAGCATTAGTGCTTCTATGCACGACAGGCAAGATGGGCCCTTTTCTTCATGCGATTCCAGTTCACCTTCCCCTGTCATCCAGGTACCAAGAATGTGACAGCAGACACCCTCTCCCATCTCTATTCACCTGAGGAAAATGCTGAAGAAGCTGAAACCATCATTCTCCCTGAGCTTGTGGTCCAGTGGACCCTGGATGATAGAATCTCTGAAGCCACCACCATTGAGTCAGCTCCGCTGGGCTGCCCCATTAACTGCACATATATTCCTGTCTCCCAAAGGATCTCCTTCATTGAGTCCACACAGTTATCCGTGGGCACTGCCCACTCAGGGTCCAATCAAACCCTCTCACTCCTCCAGAATCAGTTCTGGTGGACCCAGCTGGCAAGAGACATCAGAAGGTTCATCCAAGGATCTGGTATGAAAGAGCAACTCAAAGATTGCAAAAAAAGTGTTGTTTGAACTCTAACCTACTACACATTGAAATGTTTCCCATAAAAGGCCACAGAATGATGTGGCCTGCAGTCTTTTGTTGGCACTGGAGCTATGGGTAATATCAAAATGGTTAAGAACGAGTTAGTGAGTGTTTTTGCTTACAAGTTTACACCTGATCTAGAATTGGAACTTTGTCCAAGTATCTGAAAGAACAAACTTGGTTGTGAGGTTATTTGTCAGAAGATTGGTACTGTATACATCTGATAAAAGTAATGTGGTTAAAAAGAGATGATCTGCACATGAAACATCATCCAAGAAACATCTGTAGATGTAACAAACAAAAACAGGTCACATGTTCTACTTCAGCAAATTTATTTAAATAATACATATTTATGTAATTAATCTAATGGTTTGCTGTATGTGGATGTTTGGGTTTTCAAATCTAGTGTAAAATTCCTATGTTTTGTGTAACACTTCATTTGATGCGTTACCAGAATGACTTTGCTGCTAGTTCTTTGCAGTGTTTTAAGTGAAACTGGGGCGTTTGGTAGCATGGGCTGGAAAGGTTTCAGTAAGTGAAATGTACAACCTGGAGCTCTGGCCAGAAGGGGCATTTGTCAGACACTATTACGAGCCATGCAGGGTGGGAGTTATTGGGTCTAATACTGCACCTGCTTTTGGGGGAATGAGTGTGGCTCTTGGAAGTGTGAAGACTCATTAGTGGAGTTCTTTGTAGTTTGGGTTTTGTCATACAATTGTCATGGATCGTGCGTGGGCCAGAGTGCAGGGAATGAAGCCCGACACATTATTGTTGATAATCTCCTGGAGAAGTGTGATATGTTCTGTTTGCACGAGACTTTTTTAGCAAAGCAATATTATTGGTTGGTAAGTAAGGAAGGAAGTAGGTAAGTAAATAAATAAATACATCTTTTAATGATACTTTTCATGTGGGTTGGTGAGTCCACAACAAATATTAGCATGGGGAATACTTTGTGGCCTGGTTAGTGGTAGGATAAATGAGGGTGTGGTTATCCTGTGGAATAAGAAGCTTGACTTATTAGTAAATGTGGTTAGAGTTGGTGTCAACTGGTGTATTGCAATACAGTTTACTTAAAAGGACAAGGAATTTGTTATGCTAAATGTGCATATACCTTATGAATGGCTTCATAATGAGGATGAACATTTAAACAGGCTTGCCATTATTATTATTATTATTATTTTATTTATTGAAAGTAATACTACCCCTTGTGTATATGTGATTGAGGATATGAATGCTGACATTTCAGATAGAAATTCACCATTTGATAATCATATTGCTCAGTTTCGTCAATAATCTCATATTGTCAAGTAAAATGCTTTTGCCTGTAGATAGTTGTCTGTCTGTTTTGTTATTCCCAAGTTTTTCTTATATCTTATAGAAGAGTCTGATAAGAATCTTACTGTGTGTGAAATATCTTGGACATTTTATTATTAAGCACATGACAGAAGATGAGGACACTGAAAGGCAAACTTTTATGATGAAATGGATGTTTTTGTTTTGGTTCTTTTAAAGGTCCCATGACATGCTGCTTTTTAGATGCTTTTAAATAGGCCTAAGTGGTCCCTAGTACTGTATCTGAAGTCTCTTTCCCCTTTAAGGTTGTTTAGGTTGTTACAAATTAAAGAACTCTAAAGCAGAGGTCTTCATCCATTCTCCTGGAGACCCACTGTCCTGCAGAGTTTAGTTCCAATCCTAGTGGTTCTCCAGGAGCACTGTTGAAGTATATATTCCTCAAGCCTCAACTGTGCAGTGTTGGGGGTAAAAACTAGGTGATGGTCACCAGTTTTCATTTTAGGCAACCAGATATTTCCTGTGCTCTGAGAATGGAAGTGAGTTTTGCTTTTCTATCAGCTTGGTTCATCTAGCACTCCTCAGCATTTCTACTGAGGTTAGCAGTCATGTCTACCACAGCAACCAGGGTCCAACGTCACATGCGAGCAGAGTTTCCTGCATAGGTACTGGAGTTTCTGAACCGGCATGCATCTAGTCACTTGCTCAAGCACAAGCAAACCAGCTACACAGGTAAGAGTGTTATTCTTTTCTTGGGATCTTATCATTTGTTCAAAAGCAATTCAACAAGTTGTAGAAATACTTACAGTAGATCAAGTAAGAACCTGTCATAATACAGACCATTTTTAAACCTTTTCCTCACATGCCTCATTAGGAACACCGGAAATCACTGTATGTCAAGATTTTGAGGAGCAGTCAGCAAGTGTACACCGATTTTCGACCGTCACAATGATGCAGGAAGACAATTTAACCACCAATGTGTCCTGTCAGATTCATGATGGCATATTGTCACCATTCTTGCCCATTGGCTACATTATCATCTGTTGCATTGGTCTGCTCTGTAACACTGTCACGCTCTACATATTTTTCCTTCGGCGACAGACAGACTCTTCCATGACTGTGTACATGCGGCACCTTGCCCTAGCGGACACCCTCCTGGTCATGTGCTTGCCCCTGCGAGTTTACTACCACAACAAAGAAGGTCCCTTCTACTTGTGCAAGGTGGTGGGCATCTTCTTCTACATCAACATGTATTCCAGCATCCTGTTTCTCAGCCTCATCAGTCTTGATCGCTACTTGAAAATCATCAAGCCCGTTTGGGTCCGTCGAATACAAAAGACAAAGTGGAGCCACATGGCACGCTTGTGTTTCTTGCCCTACCATGCGATACGAATACCGTACGTTCTGGCTCAGATGAATGTGATCGGAGATCTTCAAAGCCAACGATTGTTGCACATCTTAAATGAGAGTACCTTGCAATTGTCCGCTCTAAATAGCTGCCTTGACCCAATTATCTATTACTTCTTATCCAGTGCATACCAGAAAACAATACTGTGTGTCATTCAGGGCAAGTTTAAAAACATGTATGCTTTAAACAGAAGGAGAATCAGCATAAACCGCTCACTCACTGAAATTTAGCATTAATGGATGACTTTTCCATTTGTGACTCGTGATGTCTACATGAATCAATTTTTTAAATTCAACAAATTGAAAATATTTAGTTTTAAATTATGTTTACTGTTGGTCACAGCTTGGGCACAGGTGACTGAATTCATGTTTCATATGATCATAAGAAATAATATCTATATTTACATAAATATAAAGTATATATGTGCGTGTATCGCACATAGGAAGTCGTGGCCTAATGGTTAGAGAGTCGGACTCATAACCCAAAGGTTGTGGGTTCGAGTCTCGTACCGGCAGGGATTGTAGGTGGGAGGAGTGAATGTACAGCGCTCTCTTCCACCTTCAATACCATGACTGAGGTGCCCTTGAGCAAGGCACCGAACCCCCAACTGCTCCCCGGGCGCCGCAGCATAAATGGCTGCCCACTGCTCCGGGTGTGTGTTCACAGTGTGTGTGTGTTCACTGCTGTGTGTGTGCACTTTGGATGGGTAAATGCAGAGCACTAATTCCGAGTATGGGTCACCATACTTGGCCACATGTCACGTCACGTGTATGACGGTTCTAACATTTTTGTAATAATAATAATAATAATAATAATAAATAAGAAGGTGTGCCCAATCCTCTGACTAGCAGTTTATTTAAGCATGTCTTGTTTTTCTATAGATGCTGAATATGTAGTTGTAGCATTTTCTCTAGAGCAGTGGTTCTCAGATTGTTTTTCTTTGATGTACATTTTGTGGTGGTGCCCAGAAAAAATATCAAAATGGTTTATCCAAAATCAAACATGGATATATATGAGTATGAATTTGTACAGGCCCAACAAAATGTATATTAACATAATTTAGGCTAAATAGGAAATTAAGCTTTTGGTTTCTAAATGTGTTTTTTTTAGTTTTCTGCAGCCACAAATTAAAAAAAATTTTTTAAACAATATATTGGATGCACAGCTATTGACTTTAACAACAAGATATGGGAAGCATTGATTTATATCTGAACTATACAATATTATATTTGCTTTGTAGTTTAACTCTCTCTCTCTCTATACAGTTTGCATTTAGCATTGTATTTTCTCTGCTGTCTGTGACCCAGAAATGACGTGCAACCAACTATTTGAGAACCACTGTGCTAGAGTTTCTGAGTGTACATTTGTGGATAGACTTTTTAGTTTTCCTTCGTTACTTTATTTAACTGAGAGAAAGTCCTGTATTTATGATAGTTTAATATGTGTAATGAGAAAATGAGCTTTGTAAATGTTATGGATTTATTTGTTTGTAATAGTTCCCATGTGGTTGGTATGGGTGCTGTTGTGTTATGAGTCAAACCCATGTATTTGGTGGTAGATTCTGTATAAGTGTTAGCCACATGAAACTTTTTTCTAAATGTGAGAGAAATGTGGGAAAGTACAAAAAACAAGAAATTAAAATATTTGCACTTTTTATTATTATTTAATTATTTAAACAATTTAAACTTTTTTTTTAGTTGATTTTGTTGATAACTGAAACCTGAACGAGATTACAAATACAAATAGTAAATAAAATTGTTTATATTTTTGTTAAATGCATAACTGCCTTCATGCTTTACTTCATGCCCTTTATAAACTCTTTATGCACATATTCATACATGCCTGTAATCTGGCTAAACCATTATTGTAACAGAGCATGGAAATAAAATACAAAATACATTTTATTTAAATAAAATATCTCAATGTACCTCAGTGTATTGATTGTTGCAAAAACTGCAATTCTCAGCTGATGTCTTAGATAGGTTTAGTGAGCTTGACATGATGCTCAAAACTGCTGTGTGGGGTTGTTGTTGTCATTTGGTTCTGATCAACGGATTGGAGAGTGCATTGATGAACTGATGAGAAGTTTTTTTTTCTTTTTTTTCTGCAGCATGTGGGTGACTTGCAGGATCTTGATTGTGACTTTATGAGTTTCAAGTGCAGATCATTTTCCACTTACACTCCATTTTGCATTTAATACATCCTTACACACAGACACACAGACACACACACACACACACACACACAGGTTTCCACTTTTATGGTAACATTCCATAGACATAATGGTTTTTCTACTGTCCAAACTGTATTTTCTATCCCATTAACCTAACCCTACACACAACTTTCTGCATTTTTAGATTTTCAAAAGACTTAATTATATGTGATGTATAAGCTTGTTTCCTCATAGGGACCAAAAAATGTCCCCACAAGGTCAAAATGTACTGGTTATGTGGATGAGTATGATGATGGCAGAATTTTCAGATGAACACAAATTATCTGTGAAAGATGTGATTTTCTCTTGTTACATGCTTGATATTTTTGGGGATGTTTTGTAACATTTAAGTGAGACAACTGGCACTGGGGCAAACCATACAAGGAAATTACCAGGAAACAGGCAATCATGTTCAGTACAAGCTCAATTTATTTTGAGAGGTGCAGATTAACAATCATTAAAGATAATAATTTATAAGATAAATTATGGGAAAAGGGAGAAAACTGATTGATGCCAAAAAAATAAAAAATAATCAAAAGCAAAACAACCCCGATAACTGAACCCCAACCCAACTAATCTAACTATCAAACAGAAAATGTAGAAATAAAACTGCAAACTTCAGCGTATCCAACGCCCAACATAAACTATCCTAATTAATAACAAAAGTACATAAGTGGGCTCTCACTCCTAACCTAGAATTAACAAGAAAATAACTAAATTTAAATACAAAAACTTACCAATCTCCTTTTCCCGAAATTACTCTAACAGGTCTCGCGTGACAAAAGCCACATTGGTCTATGTTAGCTGATCTCAGTGTTAACTTCGCACCACATGCCAAACCAGTAAAGCACTAATCATTCAACAACAGGTGTTTCCAAGTTCTAGCGAACAATGACAGGTTTGGTGAACCTAACCACAGAGCTTGAAAGCCTCAACAAACTAACGAGTAAATAACAAGTCAACTGAACAATTCAAAAGAACTAATAAACTTAACACAATACACACAACTCAAATAAGCAGAGAAAAATAAACACGGCTGGCAAAAATGGACAGTCGCCCGCTGTCTGGAAAGCAGGATGGCTGACAACAGCACACAAAGCCCGGCCCCCTTTTAAATAGGTAGGTCCATCCTGATTGGTCAGCTGGTGAACTGAACAGCCAGTAGACAAAACCTAAGAATTTAGAGCAAAAACAGCAAGAGAGGAAAAGGGGGAAAAAAACAGGGAGCAAACAAAAATACAAAACATACGGGGAACGTAACATTTCCCAAAGTTAATATACAGCCTATTAAGATAATGCTGTATTGACAGTAAAATAACACCAAACTACATATTCCATGCTTTTGTTTTCTTCGTTGTAAGACGGCAGAGAGTGACGCAACCAGAAACTGTATCCATGTAATTATGCATAATTAATTGTTATTATAATAGTAAGTACATGTAATGTGTAACAAGGACACCTCAAAATAAAGTGTTACCGAACTCTTTATGAGTTGATTGCTTCCACCTGTTACTGGTTTGTTTGTCAAGGTTTGCCTATATAAGCTCTGTTTTTCATCTTAATCTTTGTGAAGTCTCGACTATGTTAACACTTCTTTTCTAAGTTCTAGTATCCTGGTTTCCTGGATTCTCGTGGACTATTGTGAATAAAAGGCTGCATCTGGACCACTTAAGTCTCAAACCAGTGATTCATAACTGAAGACTTCACCATCTTAGATCCAGCAGCTGCTGTAGAGATAAAGCCATCATGGACCTGGTTGACTGAGTTATGGATCCAGCAACCTGTCTCATTCGGCTCCATCAAGGAAACTGTACCCTCAAGGACCACACCAGAGACTTTTTAGATATTGCATATCTTACAGACTTTCCAGATTTCACCCTCATTGATTTCTATTGTCATGGACTGGATTATTTCAAAGACACTCTAATCTGCAATGGACCTCGGAGGTCACTCAAGACATTTTTGGACTATGCATTGCTGTTGAGTGGTTCCCCCTTTATGGTGGCCAAGGAGCTTGATCGACTATGAACTCCAGCATGCCCTACACTGAGAGTCGTGAGCCCAGTGTTGGTAGCGTCTTCCACTAAAGTCTTATGGCGCTTTTCCACTGCATGGTACGGCACGGTACGGCTCGGTACGGTTCACTTTTGGGGGGTTTTCCACTGGGTACAGTACCTGGTACCTGGTACTTTTTTTAGTACCACTTCGGTTGGGGTTCCAAGTGAACCGTACCGTTACCAAAACGTGACGTGTAAACTCTGCTGATCACGGATTGGCCGGAGAGAATCGTCACTACCTGCGTCACTGAACTTGCGACACAAACACAAAAGAACCGCTAGATTTAAATCAGCACAGCCAGCGAAGGATCGAATGCAACTGTTTTGAACGAGCGCACCTTTTTTAACAACCAAAAAGTTTTATTGTCTGCTGCAGAAGTACAGATGTTCCTCTCGTTGATAGCAGAGGAGCGGATCCAGCGAGAGCTTGATGGGGCGACGCGGAATGAAAAAGTTTTTTTTAGGAGTCGTGGTAGTAGAGGGTGTCTTTCAGGAGTGTTGACCCTGGCAGAGCTTTATAAGGCCCTGCAAAGCATAGAGTCTGGGGGGCACCAGGTGTGGATAGCCTCCCTGTTGACTTCTATAAGGCTTTTTGGTTGGAGTTCGGAGGGGATTTGCTCGAGGTACTCAATGGCAGCTTGTCAGAAGACAGGATGCCTTTGAGATGCCGGGGAGCGGTAATCACTCTCATTCTAAAAAAAGGGACCTTACTGATTGTAACAAAGCTCGTAGATCGGGAAGAAGGAGGTGGGAACCAGCAAACATTTAAACATAACACTTTAATAAATAAATAAACACAAAACTAAAGTAAAAGCGGCAGCCCCTCACGGACGACTGCCGCATAAAACATAACAACATAAGGCCTGGTCCTCTCTCGTCCAAAGTTTTGGCTAATAGATTGGCTGGGATGTTGGAGCAGGTCATCCATCTGGACCAGATATATTGTGTCCCAGTAGATCTA